ACAGTAACAATTCCAAGTCCGAGGACTAGATTTAACTTAAAAGGTACACCCGTAGTAAGTATGAGACCTTAGCCTATAGTGACATGGAAACTAATTCTGCAGAAACCTAAAGCTTAACTGGTACTAGAATTAAGGCCGAGTGCAAATGTGTAGTAATTATATAACACTAGGATATAACAGGCAGGACACAAAGAGTAACTAATAAGTGAGAGACCACATAACACGTAATGTACCCGGCCAAGAGGCCGTAAAAGACCTAATGAATAAGGAGAAGGGGGTGTGACTACAAGTAGGGCTTACTAGCACCTAGACTGGGCAAAGTATTAGCTGTGAACAGCGGGACACTTGGGGACCGGCGCTGCACCCCCCTTCCCACATGCAGTGGGGAGAAAAGGGGCAACTGTGCAAAGCATGACGGGGGTACAAAGACAGCCGCTTGCAAAGGGGAGGTGGGTGGGCTTTGCGAGGGCAGCGGTGGGGGCAGGCGGAGTGAGGGCAGAGCCCCTTTGTGCCCCCGTATTTATACGCGCCCCAGACTGCCCGCGCAACGTCGCGGGACGCGCTGCGCAAATGTTTCTTTCTCCCCCATCAGAAACATCCCCGCTTGCGATCAAGCAGTGGCCATTTCTTGCCCGAAACGCATTGCGTAATAGTGGCTTTAGGCATTGTATGTACTAGCTCTATCTATATATCAATCCATTAATGTAACATCACTTGTATGTATGTACCTTACCTGAATAAACATATTTATTTATTTATTTATTTAAATCATCAGGGCAAATGGGAGAACCTTTGGCAAGCCGCCGGCTTCCTGTCCTCATTTGTCCTGATGATTTTATCAAGTTAGACTTTAAACTAATGCAACATTTTGGTATTTACAGCTTCGGCGGGTAAGCAGTTCCTTGGATTTATAATTAATTATAATTCGTTATGTCGGAACAGCTTATATCCAGGTTTCCGATTTACTGGCCCTCCCCAGGATGCAACCCCACAACAAGCTGATCTATGTTGTTTTAGATTCAGCTACTTAGAATAAAAGTTCCAAAGTAGCACAGGCTATGGTGAGCCCGTAGTGGACTTACCTGGCACAGCAGCGGTACTGAAAAAAGCTGACCTATTTACTGCTAGGTGATAGGACAACCCGTCTTCAGACAGTCCATTCCATCCAACTGTCGACCCCAAAGACGCATTCGTCAATTTTAACAATCTGTTAATTCAATTTAGTTAGTTTAGTCCATTTATTATGCACCCCATACCCATCTTGTGGGCGGTAGTGGATGAAGAGTTACAGAGGCACATAATGGGCTCAGGGACTGAACCCCGCAATTCATTTAGCTAATCAAGTTACAATCTTGATGAGCTAGTTACAAAATTCAGTATAAGTCGTCACATCAACAATGGGTTCGAGATCGACCAAAAGTAGTTTCTAAATTAAGCAACTGACATATGTGGAGAGCTAGTGTCACAATTGATATGCTTGTCCTGCACACCGCCCCCCATCCAGTGAGCAGCGGTGGATAGGTTACAGTCACTTAGTTACTACCTACAGTTAGCAAACTGGGAATATTTGTCTAAAATTTCTGATAGCAGATCATTTTGAATTATGGTCACTGCTTGAGTCGCAAGCGGGGATGTTTCTGGCGGGGGAGAAAGAAACAATTGCGCAGCGCGTCCCGCGGCGTTGCGCGGGCAGTTTGGGGCCGTATAAATACGGGCGCACAATGGGGCTCTGCCTCACTCCGCCTGCCCTCGCCGCTGCCCTCGCAACCACTCCCCGGCCGCCCGACTTCGCACGAGATGGACAACACGCCAGCTGCCTCGGTACCTGACCTCTCTCTCACGGACATCCTGGGGCCCTCGACACCCCAGACTGTTCCGGCAGGGCCCTCCTGCCCTACACTTTTAAACCCAAGGTGAGGTTTTCTGTTCAATTCTAGTCAGGTCCTCCCCAGTGCGGCGTGTGCCATGCGCCATCCCCTCGCGGTACGTGTGTGCCGCCTTAGTTAGTCCTTTGGGCTCTCTGCTGTATGTTCCCGGAGAGCTGGGGCGCCCTCCTTGGGCCTGTGCCGGGCGCCCCCGTGCCGTGCTGGTCGCGGGGCTGGCTTAGGGTCGGCGTGCCCCGGGCCGCGTCCCTAGTGGCCTACGTTCGGTCTCCTCTCTTGTGGGGCCCCGTCCAGCCGTGCCCGTCCGTGTCCAAGGGGCCCCGCAGCGCGGCGTGCCCAGGCGCGCGCCCTGCCCGGGGCCCCGTCGGCGGCCAGGCGTGCCCTTGCCGGCGTCGCCATGTGGCCAGGCGTGGTGGGCCCTACGCCCTTTGTGCTCTGCCTTGGGGCCCTTCCCTCGCCGCCATCGACCACGTGTCTGGTCGTCTGGGCGTGCTTCGGCGTCCTTCCCGCCTTCCCTTCGGGGCTCCCTGTCGCCGGCCCGCCGGGTTTCCCTGGGTGTCTCAGGGGGCCAGGATTCGCCTTGTCCGAGGACATGTGTAGCCGTCGGCGACGGATTGTGGCCAGGTTCGGTCCTACGCCCGGGGCGCATGTTCTCGGCGGCGGCGACACGTGGCCAGGCGGCCCTATGGCGGGCCCCGCCTTGGGGCCCATGCATGCCTTGCCGGGTCGTCACGTGCCTGGCCGGCAGGGCGTGCTTCTGCGTCTTTCCTGTTTTCCCTCGGGTGTTCCCTGTTGCCGGTCTGCCGGCTTCCCTGGGATGTCCCCAGGGGTCGGGTCTCCCTGAGCGGACTCCCTCCCGGACTCCCTCCACGAGTCGTCGCCCCTGGCGACGACTCGTGGCCAGGTCCAGCCCTCCGCCCGGGCCTGCTACGGGGCACACGCCTGGTCGTGCTGCCACGTGGCACGTTCCGTGGCGAGCTCGGTTGGGCTGTGTCCCGCCCTTCCTGTTCCCTTTTGGGTGCTAATCCACGTGGCTTTGCGCCACGGCTTCCCACGTCGGGGCTCGGGCCGCCTTGCGCCCGTACGGCCGCGCCTGTGTGCGGCCCCCCCCCCCTCCCCTTTTCGTCTAGGCCCTGAGCATGCCGTGTGGCAGCGCGTGGTTGGTAGACCACGGGGTCCTTGCCGTGTGTGGTGTGTTCTCTGCTAGGCACGTCGCCCTCGGGCGTCTCGCCCGGCCGTGTTGCCCGGGGTGTTA